TACCCGCAAGATTAACAATAGGGTGAACCCCATAAAAAGAACCGGATGACTATAATTTTGACCCTTCTTCACGATAATTTTTCTGGGCCCTCAAAGACGCGTAATTACTAATCTTTACTAATAAACGGAACCGATAACTCTAACCGAAAATAATGAATTACCCAGGGAAGCCCCCCGAACACATTAATCCACAAACCATAATTTTAATTAACTATCTACGCGAACCAACTCAATTTGAATACGAGTGGAATTTCTTACGCGCGAAAGCCCACGTGTAACAGGAATGGACGCGCTCTAGCAATGCAACGTGATTAATTATCTCCTCTGATAGATTCGCATAAAAGATCTTTAACCAACGTAATAAGCCGATGCACAGTGTGATCGGAGCCGGGTTTGAGCCGGAAATAACCCCAAAAAGGGGAGAAATCCCCTCGAATAACCCACCAAAAATCATGAGAACCACCCAATCATGAGTGAAAAGGGGCCGGGGGGGGGGATCGGCACCTCACAATTTGGATTAAGCGTCACAATCATCGTTTTAATGGAATAAAATGCGACGTACGGGGCTGCAGACCCCGTAGTCGAATAACTAAAAGCCGAAATGAATTCGGAAAAATAAATAAACCGAACTAAAAACTCACTTTGGATTTCTTACCCCTCTTTGGGGTGTTCTTCGCCATCGTATAGATAATATGATCCAAGTATAGGCACTATAATCCTAAGATAGGCACTGTACTGGCACTAGTTCCGGTGAGGTCAAGGGCCAACGCCGAACTGCCGAAGTCACGAGCGTCTCGAGACACTTCAGAGCGCAGAATTCACCACTCAATCACCCGAATTTGTATTGGTGCGGACACGCCCTTCGAAGGTGCGAATCTAACGACAATTAATCGCGACTCTCACGACCTGGCGCGATTATTCAAATCTCACCTAACTCTTCTCTAATCACCTAACACAAAACTAGTTCCTTTTTATTAATTATTACGCGAGACTAGGCCGAACTGATTGTCGTTCGGATAATTACGAAGGGCCTTGGGCGCTTCCCACAGATCGGATCTCCGGGATTTTCGGGGTTAAAAGACAAGTTACCGGCACTTGTTATGACTCCACTACTAATTCCTTCTCAACTCGTTTCTCTCATCGAAAACCCGAAGGCAACCTGGCGATTCGTTGGAGACGATGGTTGCACTCGCTCCGAACGACCTTCCACCCAAAACAAAAACGTAACCAATTAACCCCTGAAAATCCAACGAAATTGGAGCACCGGCATTTCAGCCGGACCTATTCGATTACCCGCAAGATTAACAATAGGGTGAACCCCATAAAAAGAACCGGATGACTATAATTTTGACCCTTCTTCACGATAATTTTTCGGGGCCCACAAAGACACGTAATTACTAATCTTTACTAATAAACGGAACCAATAACTCTAACCGAAAATGAGCCACTCGGAAGTGGATAAGGGACTCTCACTCTCTCGCTCTAGGATTCTTACATACGGATTTTAATTCAACGCTGTAGGAGTCTCGCTGTTTCCAGATCGTTTTTAGTGTTCCTAGCGAACATCCCCACATGTTCGTTACAATCGGCATGGTTAATATTGATCGACGCTTGCTGAGTTTGATTCTAATTGGTTGATTGAGAAGTTTGTGTATTGAATTTAGAGAATTTGTTTGGAGAAGATCGACATTTCATAGTTGGATGCCCTGTGACCTTGCAAGTAACGCAATATCCCGGCTTGAATTTACTGCGACATTCGCCCTTCAAGTGACCTACTTTTCCGCACACGTAACAAATCATCTTTTCAACTGATTTCTGATTATTAGCTGACATGACATCCACTTGAGCAGGAAATGGTTTGTGTGATCGATTTTGTGGATTATACCGCCTGTGATTTTTGAAATGACTTCTGTGATTACTTTGTGAGTTATTAAGAATTTTGTTCTGTTCGTGTTTGAAAATATCATTATGTTCCTCGATTTCTTTCTCTTTCTCAATCGCGATTTTAACAGCTGTTTCGAGATCTACCGGTTCTTTATTTGAAACACACGAACTGAGTTCACCCCTTAATCCTCGAATGAAACTATTACGAGCCCCCTCGTGTGTACCTGTTAGAAGCTCTTCTGCAATCTCACTGGGATATTTTTCGCGAATCAACTCGACGATTCCCCGAACTATAACTGTGATTCTCGCGACAAAAGCAACTATTATTTCGTTGGGTTTTTGATGCATTTTCGAGAGTAATCCTTGCCACTGAGAGAGTGTCTGATAAGGTGCAAGAGTCTGTTTTAAATTTGCAAAAATATCCTCGAGATTTGAACTTTCTTCATCAAAATATTTACTTCCCGTCCCAGAAATTCTCGATTTGATTAATTGTGTGAGAAAAACGTGATGTGAGGGAAATGCAAGCGCGATTGCTTGTTTGCATAAATTACTGAGTTTGTTTAAGGGCATATTCTGTCCATTTAAATGTTGGGATCAAGCTAGATATATGGTTGAATGACATCGTGGGCACAAAAGGCTGACTGATCAAACTCGTTCGACTCCCAGTTGACGAGTGCGACAAATCACCTGAACTGCTCAACGTAGCATTACTATCGGGATTGACACTTATTGTACTATTTGTTGATTGTGCAGATTCTCCCCTCGTCCTACCTCTTCTATTTCTTGTTGGTGGCATTTTCAAAATTCTACTTAAATTTGTTGTGGCGCGAGCCACAATAGATTAATTTCTTGAATTTATTTCGTAGCGTCTCGAATATTCCAAACATCGGAATTCGAGACAAACATCATTCTGTCCTTGTCCCTCACGAAATTTCAGGACAATTCTCGAACCTTCGATAAACGAAGGTATATAAACTCGTACGCTCCCCGGCGGAAAAAGTCAGTCTACTTTTGAGTACGCATGTAAACACTTGCCTTTAAATATACAGTTCTTGTCAACACCGAGTTATTATTTTTGATACCCACACCAAACCGCCACAACTGGTGGCCCCGAGGTGATTGAAGTGAATAGTTTTCTCGCGTTTTCTTTGATTATTAATTATATCACGTTAACGCCGCGACTGTTCCGCGAAATTCGAGTGCATTTCAATCGTGCCCTTTGTGAGTGGTTTGTGTGCCGCGTACGCTCGTGTGTTGTATCGTTCACGCGCTCCATTCGAGTTCTTTTCATGAATTTCGGTGCATTGCTGAGCACCCAAGGACGCTGTGCTGCACTGAATATTTTTCGGACTTTGTCTAGTGTTGTTTTTTCGCGAAACCAAAATGCCCGATAGTGTCGCGGTGCGCGAAGCTGACAATGGAGCCCCGCTTCAACGCGTTTCGATACGATGTCCCACCTTCAATGCCGAACGTCCAGCGTTATAGTTCACACAGCTCGAGGGACAGTTCCATCTATCCGGGATTAACGATGAAGTAACGAGATATTAGTATGCCTCGTCTCATCTCGATCCCAAGGCCGCTGCTGAGGTGCAGGATATCCTCCTAAATATGCCTGCGGAGACACCGTACACACGTCTCAAGGAGGCGCTCGTCGAACGCCTCACGCTTTCCCGGGACTCACGACTCCAGCAGCTGCTCGACCGAGAGGTATTAGGTGACAGGAAGCCCTCGCAATTCCTGCGTCATCTTAGGAGTCTCGACGATACGGTTCCTGACAACATTTTACGCATCAAGTGGCTCAGCCGACTGCCGATGACGACGCAGTCCATCCTGGCGTCACAAGCGGACATGGCTCTCGACAGGCTTGCAACACTCGCCGACAAACTGCACGAGATCGCATTTCCGATAGCCCACATCAATGACGTCCAGGAGCCAACATCCTCAGCCCTCGAGACACGCTTTTCTCGTCTCGAAGCCACAATCTGCGAGCGCATCGGCCCTAAAAGGGCAAAGCATCGCACCTTCTCGCTCCCGCTCTCGATCCCATTCTCGAGCAACCTCGCCAGCACCCTACAACAACCAGTGCTGGTATCATCGAAGATACCACGACAGGGCTAGACGTTGCAAAGCACCTTGCTCGTGGCAGGGAAACGCCCCGGCGGATCGTTAGTGGCGGTTAACGTTCCCTCTTTCAAATCCAGCCCTCTTCGTAACCGATCGCGCCACCAAAATCCAATACTTGGTGGATACTGGCACCGATCTTTGTACATTTCCGAAATCTCTCGCTCCTGGAGCAAAGAAACGAGTTAACTATACGCTTATTGCAGTCAACGGCTCGACAATCAACACGTACGACTGCATAACTCTATCGCTCAACCTCGGCCTCCGGAGGGATTTCCCATGGCGCTTCGTAGTGGCAGACACAACCAAACCAATTATCGGTGCCGATTTTTTGGCGCATTTCGGCATTTAACCTGACCTGAAGAACGGCTGCCTTATCGACTCAACAACTGGATTAACGACCTACTGCAAAGTGTCGCTTTGCAGCATCGTCTCGGGAATCAAGGTTACGCCTGTCGATCCTTCATGGGCGGATCTCCTCAGTAAGTTTCCCAATTTAACGAAACCCGAAGGAATATGCCTTCCAGCCAAACATTCGACGCTGCACCGTATCGCCACAACACCCGGACTTCCAGTATCCAGCAAATCACGACGCCTCGCCCCCGACAAACTGAAAATCTCCAAGGCGGAGTTCGACAAAATGATGCATCTGGGAATCACTCAACCTTCGAAGAGCCCCTAATCATCTCCGCTCCACTTAGTACACAAAAAGTCAGGCGAATGGCGACCTTGTGGAGATTATAGATAATTGAACGCACGAACAATTCCGGATCGATATCCCGTTTGCGTTCTAGAGGACTTCACTACTAATCTCGCTGGGAAAACAATCTTCTCGATGATCAACCTCGTACGCGCCTTTAATCAAATACATGTGGCCATCGACGACATAAACAAAACAGTTATCATCACACCATTTGGCCTTTTCGAATTCCCGTTCATGACGTTCGGGCTTCGAAATGCCCCACAAACATTTCAATGGTTTATCGACGAGGTCACACGAGGCTTGGACGATTTAGCCTTTCCGTATATCGATGACATCCTCATCGCTTCCAAGGACATCGAGGAACATCGCAGATACCTCCACACGCTCTTTGAACGGCTCTCAAGTTACGGTGTTGTAATTAACACCGCCAAGTGTCGTTTCGGCCAACCGGAGGTAGACTTCCTCGGCCATCGTATCTCGGCGCAGGGTATCTTACCGCTCCCGTCGAAGGTAGAGGCGATCATCAATTTTCCTCGGCCAACATCCATTCGTAAATTGCGTGAGTTCCTAGGTATGATCAATTTTTATCGCAAATGTCTTGAAGATGCTGCAAGATTTCAGGCTCCTCTCCATGAATACAGTCAGGGTGCTAATGTCAAAGGCTCTCACCCCGTCGCCTGGACACCTGAGGGCGATACCGTTTTCACAGCCTGCAAGGAGGAGCTGCGAAAAGCAACGCTACTGGTCTACACGGAGACGACACTCCCCGGGGCCACCTTCACCGATGCTTCCGAATACGCCATCGGCGCAGTCCTGCAGCAACGACGAGGACAGCACTGGGAACCACTGGCATTTTTCAGCCAGAATCTACAACCTGCGCTGAGGAAGTACTGCCTTTACGATCAAGACCTCCACGCCATCTACGCTGCCGTGCGAACGTTCCACTACATTTTCGAGGCGAGGCATGTCACGATCTTCACAGATCATAAGCCGTTACTTCACGCCTTCGCCCAGGATCTCGACAGAGCCACGCCGTGGCAGTTCCACCGCCTGGATTTTATCGGCCAGTTTTCGACCGACATCCAGTACGTGGCCGGCAAGGACAACGTTGTCGCCGATGCGCTTTCTCGTATCGAGGCAATCTCTGCTGCCGTCTCTACGAATGAGCTTGCCGCAGCTCAAGCCGCTGACGAGGAGCTCCAGCAACGTCTCCAGGGTCAACATCACGACGCTCTCGCCCTACGACCTGTAAATGTTCCAGCCTGCGCCACGCCTATCTGCTGCAACGTGACTGGCGACCTGATTCGCCCTTTCGTTCCTATGCCGATGAGAAGAAGAATTTTCTATGCCCTCCATACCATCAGCCATCCTGGGGCACGAGCCTCAACGAAGCTGGTAACGCAGCGCTACGTCTGGCCCGACATCAACCGAGACTGCCGTCTATGGGCCCGTGCGTGCATCGCTTGCCAACGAAATAAGGTATCTCGTCAGCTCTCATCTCCCATTCAAAATTTTCCAGGACACACGCGGCGCTTCGAGCACATAAACGTGGACATCATCGGATCGTACGTTCCGTCCAGAGGGTATCGCAACTGCCTGACGATCATAGACCATTTCACCAGCTTCCCAGAGGCGTTCCCCATCGAGAACACTGGAGCAGAGTATGTCGCCCGAACGCTCTTTTCTGGATGGATCTGCCGCTACGGAGTGCCGTTTCGAATTACAAACGGCCACGGGACACAGTTTGAGAGCCAGCTGTTCAACACCNTCGAGAACACTGGAGCAGAGTATGTCGCCCGAACGCTCTTTTCTGGATGGATCTGCCGCTACGGAGTGCCGTTTCGAATTACAAACGGCCAGGGGAAACAGTTTGAGAGCCAGCTGTTCAACACCCTCGCTCGTCTTCTCGGTAGCAGACATATTCACACCACCATGTTCCATCCTCAGTCAAATGGAATGGTGGAACGTCTGCATCGTCATCTGAATGATGCCATTCGCTGTCATGAAAGCAATTCCTGGGTGGACATGCTGCCTATCGTCCTTCTCGGAATTCACGCCGCCTGGAAAAAAGACCTCGGCGCAACTCCTGCCGACCTCGTCTTCGGTAAACCGCTCCGACTACGGGGAAAATTTCTTGCTCTCTCGCCACCACGCTGGCTACCGCCTACCAATATCGCCGATCGTCTGAGGAATCACTTCGCCGATCTCGTTCCTCAACCCGTCGCCCGTCATGGCCAGAGGAAGATTTTCGTCTTTAAGGAGCTCCCAAACTTCTCACACGTCCTCGTTCGTCACGACGCTCCCCATCACGCTTTCACGTTCTCTTACAAGGGGCCACACCAAGTAATATCGAGGCACGAGAAACATTTCGTCATTCGAATTAGAGGCGAAAATACCGTAGTCTCCATCGACCGTCTCAAACCCGTTTTCTCGCTCCCAGACGACGAGCACAACAATGACGACGAAGCTAACGACGATTCCAACGACAGCAATACGACGCTGACTACACCACCTTCACCGGAGTCACCACATCCGGAAACATCTCGACGTTCGTCATCTTACCGTCCATCTGACACCAGCTCATCGACGTCATCAATTCAAAAGCGTGTCAGATTCGCTAAACATCAGCTGTTCTCGACAAATCGATATTATTGATTTTCTTTTGCCTTTATTTTGCTTTCTTTTCTCTTCCCGCAGAAGGGGAGTACTTGTAGCGCGAGCCACAATAGATTAATTTCTTGAATTTATTTCGTAGCGTCTCGAATATTCCAAACGTCGTTATTCGAGACAAACATCATTCTGTCCTTGTCCCTCACGCAATTTCAGAACAATTCTCGAACCTTCGATAAACGAAGGTATATAAACTCGTACGCTCCACGGCGGAAAAAGTCAGTCTACTTTTGAGTACGCATGTAAGCACTTGCCTTTAAATATACAGTTCTTGTTAACACCGAGTTATTATTTTTGATACCCACACCAAACCGCCACATTTTTACTGAATCTATTTGCTTCTTTCTTCGCAAAATACTATAATAACTAAATTCTCTTTGTGTTCTCTCTAGGTATGGACAAGGTGCGGCCTATAATCAGGTGTATCTCGCTAAGTTTCATGAAAACCGCAAAAAAACCTGAGCAATACCCTGATACATCCATCCTCAAAATAATACTTATTTCTAGACTCACAATTTCTCTTTTTACAACTAATCTAATCAAGGCACTTTTTCACTCTAATTTCACTTTTAAATTTCACTAATTGCCCATAAAATTTCTACTATCACTTGACATCTGATGGATCTTCCTGTTAGCTGCCTGGCTGCAATTACTCTGGACCCCTTGACTGCAACCGCCACGAACCCATCAGTCATCAGAAAGATTATTTTGTTGAATTTTCAAATTTCAATTCAACGTTCGATGAATACGACTATCCCACCGCTGTCACCAATTGTTATGTCCTACCGAAGTTATTAGGAGGACAGTGGCGCCTTTTCAAATATTGAGCGCCAAAACTTTAAAAATTGTGCATTCGTTAGCCGCTACACCTCTGATGAGGACTCCATCGAAGTCGACTCGTTTAATCACAGGATAATTGGATTGAAGATTCTATCGTAAATAAATCCAAACACCAGTGCTTAGGAGAACACATTAACACTTTTATTCAATAAACTTTTGCCTTTAAAGACTTTAAACTTGAACTTCCAAACCTGAATAAGCTTATAAAAAAATCTCAGGAAGCTCTAAAGAAAAACTAACTGAAGAGAAAAGCTCGAAAAGTTGTCGGAACAATAGCCACGATGGGACTGACTCTATCTTAAACTTAAATCTAAAGGTTGGGTTCATACACCTCCACTAGACCAAAAGTTGCGCGCGCAATCTTGGCCCGGAGGAAAGGGAAGAGAGGTAACTCGAAAGAGAAATCCGGAAGCGAAAGGGGGAGAAAGGGGAGCGTGTGACGTCAACAGTTTCCCTCTTGAGGGGTCTCAGGCCCTTCAGCCTAGTGATACAATGAACAAAGGGAAACTCAACACGTGTAGAACACGTAAAACAGAGAAACTTTCAAAATATTTTAGAACTGAGATTTTATAATTTTACGACCGTGACCGTCGAGTTTATTTTCTCTCTGAATTTCGGATTTTCGAGAAAAGTATTTGTTGCGACGAATCTTGGCGAGTTGTAAATTTGAAAAGTAAACTCAAGTTCTTGACATTTACGATTTCCGGCAACGGTTTTTCTCAGGCCCCGTGATGTTATTTTTCGTCCCTTGTCCATTGATCTTTCATTCTCGAATTTTCTCAGT